GAAACAAGCTCGTATACCGTGACCAATCGGCACCAAGTTGCTAATGTTTAATATTTGGTGTCTCTTACAACGTATTATAATGTAACTATATTCAAGTAATAAATCATAAAAGATTATATTAAAATTTGTTACAGAAATGTAATTGTACATAAATATTTTTATTATTATTATTATTCTTATTATTATTATTATTCGCGATCGCTTCTACATACACTAAACCATCATTTTTAAACGCTTTTTATAATAATAATAATAATAATAATAATAATAATAATAATAATAATCAGCAATAATAAATAATTATAATAATAAAACCAAAGAGATTTTCCAAAAGGTAAAAGAATTTTTCAACACAAATTTATGCCGTTGTAACTTCATACGTACATTATTGTTACAAAAATTTCTTCGTAATAAATAATACCTTAATTGTATATTAATGTACAAATAAAATTTTGTAGTGTAGTGTGTTTAGTTTCGAGTTAAAATAAAATTTTATAAAAGAAAAAGTAATGGAGATAAAGTTATTTTATTGCATTTGATGATGTGTCATATTTTGAAAATTTAAAGCCACATAAAACAATTATAAAATCTTGTTAAAGTAGATTTGACTATTATATGAACTCCTATCCTTCATAATTTCATTGTTTAAACATTTTCAATGTGATAAATATGATTGATTTTTAATAGCAGTTTTGAAATGTTATATTGAGGAAGAAATTCAACTGAATTCGATTTGACACAATCCTCAATGTTGTGAAATATAAAAAATTGTAACTACCTTTATATTTTTATTTAATCTATAAATGTTTTTAAACTATCTTTATCACAAATAAATAGGTATGCTTACACTGTAAGAGTATTTTATTGGGAACAATAGATTTGCAATTAATTTGTTTTTAACAATCATTAACTTTTTGCCTTGCAACAATAGAAACAGGACTCGTGAAATATCTATAAATTTATTGTTTTTATTAAATAATCTATCGAGCCTGATGAAGTATTAAATATGATGAAATGAAAATAGATTACAATATAGAATAATATAATGATATACAAGTCTTAATTTACTTGAAATTTTTTAATTTATACAAAGAATACGCATCTGCATTTTTTTAATAAAATGAGTTTTACAATAATATTTATTAATAGTTTAATTGAATTAATTGAAACCAATATTGAAAATAATATTATAAATTTCAATAGGATCAATTTTCATTTAATATTACAAAATTAATCAATAATATTTTATTTGTACTCGCTAGATATAATTTGTATATAAACTAATAAAAAGCTCAGAAATTGTAAACACAGATTACTACAATTTCAGTTATTTGAATGCATTTATCAATCGATCATTCCCGAATGTAAACGAAGATAGTTTATAGATTTAGTAGAACAATGTAATATTAAATATTTGGGCTATGCAAAGTGTCTTAGTCTTAGTATTAGTCAATGATTAAAAAATCATTCGTCAATTTATTAAAATTTAAATTATTTAATAAACAATTCAAAATATTTATGATCTGATGAATAAAATTGATACCTAACATATTAAAAACATTTTAATGAAAAATCGTTCAAATGTTTATAAATTATATATTTAACAAAAGTATTATTAAAAAAAAATTGGGAAAATCATCTTAAGTAACTGTTTGAATTTAAACGATAAATCTAAAAATATAAAATCGTTACATACTTTAACTTTTAACATATCTTAACGATTAACATAATGTTAAGATCAAATGATATATAGTTGTGGCAATAGATTTATATAATTGATAGATATTCCGAATGAATTTGTATTCGTGTAGAGAATATAATTAATAGTGATTTAATTTACATTGATTTAGATTTTCATACACTTAATAAAATTACTTCTGATAGTATAGAAATTGTAATTCCCACAATACAACGCTTTATATATATATATATATATTAATAAAAAAGGAAATAGTAAAATTTTGTAACAATCAATGTTTATAAATACTCGTATTAATTTTACGAATTGAATATAAAAGTTGATATGAACTTTTATTATTAAAATGTTTTAAATTATTTAGCAAAATTGGAATTCATTCACAATTACCGTATGCACAAATAAACGTACAGAATAATATTCTCATTAATAAATTCATTCGCATAATATTTTTAATAAGACATTGTCTGAAAGTCCTTGCTCAATAATTCTTTTACTCTTCAGGAAAAGATATTTCGTAAAATTGTAAATTACGATTTCATAATATGTAGAAAGCATTAATAAACAAACGTATGTTAACTCAAGTACTAAAATATATTGCACTATCTAAAAATCCCTGTATTTCATTAAAAATTCGCACATAATTTGTAACATAAATGTAATAATAATTGCTCGCACGTACACAACAGCGTAAGGCCTAGACAATCTACATTATTAAATAGCAAAAGACTAATTTACTGGTAAGATTTCCATCTTACACAAGTGCACGTATCGTAAGCGCAAGAACCAGCATTAATGGATCTTGGACAAACAGTAAGCAAATGTAATCGATTCTTTAGCTAAACAACTAGTCACAAGTTCACTTGTCTTCGCGTTTGGATTAGTAAAATGCACGCGTCGGGGCCAGAATTGCATTATCTTTTCCCGGTGCGTCTTAGCTCATCCCGTAGCGTAACCGAGTGCCGTGACGCACACGCATCGCGATAAAATGCACCGAAAGCGCGATAAGAGACACGAAAATCGATAACACGAGGGACTCTCTTTCATCGCTGCCTCCGCCGTTGTCGCTCGGCTTGCTTCTTTAACGAGGGACTTCCCGCTTACGCCACAGCTAAGAGCCAAGGTCATTGTCTCGGTCGCGTGCTGGCGGGTCGCGACGTGGTAGTGATGGTGTGGGGGGGGGGGGCTTTTATCAACGAATCCGGGCCCGTAGCCTGAGTAAAGGTGACAATATTCAGCGACCAGGACTTTTTCCCTGGACCATATCTTCGCCGTATTGTAACTTTGAAGCAGCCAAGACAACCGCTTGTAACAAATCTTTATAACGCCCACTCGATGTCGATACTTTATTATTAACTTTGATTAACATACCTTCGATACATGTACGAGAATTTTCTGTAATTTAATTTGTTATACCTTGGATATATACCTAACCAACATAATAACGAATTTCAGATGAAAATTGGTTTTCAATGGATAATGATAATGATAATCGAGAAACCCTGGATTACGAACGTACTCATGATACTTCGAGGATTACAATTGCAGATAATTTCCTCAAGTCTTATGTGACCAAAAGGAATATTTACGGAATGATTAATGACATAATTTACAAAAAGACAACTGTTTCACCGTTATACTTCGTAACCGGCAACTTCTTAGCGTTTTTTAAATAATTTGTGCTTTTATTTCGTAATAAAATAACATCAAAATCCAATTGGACTGCATAATTTGAAATACACGTGATTATTTATCTTTCGCTTTATCAAATTTTACTTTTGTATTCTACGGCATAGATTGAGTTTTATTAATTTCCTTATCGCACGATAGCTCGTCTAATTGTAGCGAGAATGTACTTTACTACCACATATTAATAAGGCAGTTGTCTATTTGCCCTACTGCAATTTAAAAACTAATGGAATTCTATATTTAATTAATTAATACCTTCCTCGTTTATCGCTAGTTTTATTTTTACAGAAATGAAAAATTCATATAATTGCCTCTTACAAGAATGAAACTATTTTCAATTTAAAATCGAATTCTTTGATCAATTGATAATTTATTGCCATATATTTTGCACATAAATTTAATTTTAATTTTATCAGATGAAATAGCTCATACTACATCAGCTTATTAACAATTAGAATTAATATAAATAAAGTGAAGTCATTTCCTTAAAAAAGTCAATGGTAGGATATATTATTACTTATATAACATTTTTCATTTAACATTTTATATTACAACTTACTCATCTATTAATGTTATTTAAATTTCTTTACAATTATTTTAATTTTATTTCATGGTCTGACTAAAAGAAATTAAATATCTACAAGTTATAAATTCCTTTAATCATAAAAAGTCGAACTTAAGCGAAAAATCCCCTTACTCTAAACAAATTATTATCTCCATATAATGCTAATGGGACAATTTTTTCAAAATAAAAAATTTGATAGGCGGCCGTATCAGAATAATTCATTTATAATTCATCCAAGTGAATCAAAGAACACTAACTCACTTTTGTATATCCAATATTGTTTTTCAACTCCCTCTGCCTCTTCTAAATAACCAATAAACGTGTTGGAAAGATAACGCGCAACCCATAGCCAATCGCTAAAAAGCATCAATGAAGTCAGTGGCAAATATAATAACAACTGCTTGTAGATATGAGAGAAAGGCTTGACCCTCACTCTCGGTGCATCCGGAGAACGGCTATAATGTGCAGTCACACTCGTCATGATTTAGAATTTCAAACATCACAAGACAGAACGAGAGATGGGGAGAGCGAGAGAGAGAGAGAGAGAGAGAATGCCAAGCCAAGGGGAACTACCCGGCCAAGCACTTTAACGATTGCACAGGGGAGATTTCTATTGTAGATAGCGTCTTGAGCTTTAAATATAAGTACGTCGCTTCAAGTCTTGAGCTTTTATTGCGCGTGATTTCCGAACTTAAAGTCAATGACAAATTGTGGCTGTTTGACTTTTTCAATAAATATATCAGAGTGCAAATTTATTGTGAATTTCTAAGAAGCTATACGCACTTGGTGCGCGTTTAGGCCAATTATTATTGCAAAAACTTAAAATTTACTTATGGTGATACGTTTAAGAATATGACAATTTTTAGAAGTGATTGATACACGATTAAGCGAACAATCAAGTACACGTACTTTCATAACCAATTAATGAACAACGTAACTCGATATTCGATCATAGATTTTTTTTTTTTTAGTAAAAATAGAATAATAATAATACCAACAACAACAATAATAATAATGGCTAAATAACGAATACGGATATAAGAAATTGCTCTTAATTGATAAGCAATTCGGCTATTTCATCCTGAGAATATAAGGAAGGCACGAGAACTAGTGGAACAAAGTAGTGTAACTTAAGTAAGTTAAACAGTTAATAGTTATTTTTTTTTCAATAAATTTATTCTCTTAAAGCTCATATTGCATGCATTATTATGTTTTTGTCATTGGATGTTACTCACTGCTTTCCCATGCGTATATACAACAAAGTCATAGATGTAGAAAAATAAACGTAATTAAGCAAATGGCTACACATACTTTTCTATGAACGCATGAAAAATTTCTGGTTCGTTATTTTTGTTGAGCACTTGCATATTAATGCATCTACAAATATAATGTTACGTACATCTATAAAGTTATGTAATAGTATTGACGTTAAGAATTTTTTAATTTCCATATCTTATAATTTCTGGATTTTTTCATTATTGTTTTATTGTTTCTTCTACATTTCATTTATAATTCATATATTATCTGATTATATATGATGATTTTCAATAACAATGTAACTTTTATATATTTTACAATATTTTATAGTTTATTTTTATTAATTTATTATTATTCAATATAAAATGTAATAGTATCTATAATATTTAGATAATTTTCATTTTAAGAAACAACATTTAAATATCCTGTTTGATTAGTTAGATGCATGAATCATTATAAAAGATTATATAATTATTATTTTATATTCAGTTATCTTCATAAGAGCCTAAGTATCCGTAATCGAATTGATTAATTGAATTGATAATGTAAATTAAGGAGTTCGATTTACTTTATAATAAACTTTACATACGATTCAAATAATCCAATAGGCTAAAAAAATTAACAAATGTAAAAATAATTTTAGATTTTAGTTAATAAAGAGATATATTTCATTTAATTTCTGCGAATCAAACAACGTTTATTGCACAACTGTTAAGTATATTATTGTCGGTCCGAATTTGTAATTTTAAATAATTTTAAAATACTTTTCAAATATATAGTGCTGAAAGTTTTTGTTAAAGATCTTACAATTTTATACAGCAGCAGAAAAACATGCTATGAAATTTAATAAATACAATTCTTGCTAATCCACTTGTATTGAGTACGTCATTACTATCTTATATATATATATATATATATATATATATATATATATATATAATCCATATTTATGTATAAATCGATATCACGTCTGCTTATTTGGTGAGAATGCTGTTCCTACTAATTTATTCAAATTTACAATTTTATTTAATTTCAATAACACGCTTATTAGATATTTGAATTTTTATGCAATCTGTTCATCAAATGTTATATCCTAGAATATTTTATAACGCAAGCATATATACTAAATTATAAAAGTCACGATCGTTAAAATTTAAAGAATTAATTTAATTGTAAATCGTATAGGCCTATCATATGTAAGAAATTCTGTGTATAAAGTAATCTGTCAGATTTATTAATATGTCTGTTGAAAACTTAATTTACATAGATAAGCCGAAATTTAAATAATAATTCGATATACCTTTAACGTTAGGTATTTTTATAATTAACATAAAAAAATTTATCCTTTCTAATTACGATGAACTAGTTCATTTAATATTAGAATAAATGTAAATACAAGTGCTAATAATTTTCTGCAAAATATACATTAAAACAGGTTTTCGTTACACCAAAGTACTCACCCAAAGAATAATTAAAATAACATCCATATCTTCCTATTGGTCGATGTGTACACGACACTATCAAGACTTTTTCAAATATCAATTTCAAAGAAATTGGATAAACCCCGAACCAAGCGGTCCCCTTGTACAAAAAGTACAGAGTTGCCTCTGTTACAGAAAGCGACCGCAAATGTAATGAAGGGCTCCGTAGAAAATAATGTCGCTTCCGACCGGAACGATTATTTGGTAGGAGATGGTCTGCGCCTCCAACTCACAATCAACAGGAACGTCCTTTCGATTACGGGAGACGGCTGCCGTGTTTCGCTCGGCAGCAATTCCGGCCACTTACGGATTATCGGGGACGGCTGTCGCGTAAACATCGGCTGCAACGTCGGCTACGTCGAGTACAACGGCGACGGGGGCCGCATTGTCCTGGGGCCCGAGTCACTCGACCGCAGCAGAATCAAGTACCGGGGCGTGGGAGGAGTCATTGAGTTCGGCCAGGTACCGAAGCGCAAAGGCGAGCCTGACAAGCCCAAGTCCACGAGAAAAAGTGGGACGAAGAGGGAGGAGGCAAGAGCTCGACGAGGCTCCGACTGACGTGTAAATCTCCGGTCGATGCATACGTTAAGAATAAGACCCGAATGCGATTGATTGGACGTGGAGAGAAAATGGCATTTTTCTCTCGTTGCGAGCGCATGAGAATTGGATTACGAGGGATTTAGCGAGGCTAGATTTTAATAAGGTTTTCGCGCTTCCCGTGCAGTTATCTAACCAATTGTTCCGAGTTCAAATCACGGAGCTCAATTTTTAAAATAATATTTTAAATATATTTAATTTATACATCCATCATTTGATAATATCTGGCGATTTAAGTTACAGCTTGTGTATTGAAAAATTGTATTAAAAGTATTTATTATTTATTATATTCATTATAACCGGAACGGAAAATCATTTATCAGTATTACAACGCGCATGATTCGACATTAGGGTTTTAATTAATTTATAGTATTGGATGTCAAAAGCTTTTTTTCAATGATCAGTAGACGTTGCAGATAGCATTTTCTTAGAATTAAGTTAATTTTATCGACATAATTTACTTGCCAGAACTATATTACGAAATCAATCATATGTTTCGATATTATAAAATACTTTAGAGATTATTCGGTTACCTAAATATGCTTTTTAATCCAGTATAATTTAGTATTAATTTTTTTTTTTTTTTTATAAATAAAAATGCAGATGTAATTAATTTGTAAGTTATTTTAAACATACATATATATATATATATATATATATATATATATATATATATAATATTATGTCTGATGCATAGATGCTATTGCTATAAACATAAATATGTTATTATTAAAAAATATTAATTACGGATTACGATGACGAGAAAAATCATTTATAATAGTTTACGTACATGTGCACATGCCCACGCGCCTGCGCACGCGCACGGCCACACACAAACAAAATAGATTTATTTAAACTCCTTCGTAAATATTTTTTTATATGTACATATTTATTTGTTATGATATCGCGAATTATTTATAAAGAGAAATGTAGCAATGTAATAAGTTTATTAAAACAAAATGAACACATTTGTTATTTTTCCTTGACATAATTAAAATTAAAGTATATGAATTATATAAGAAGTGGGACTTCATTATTTAAAAATGGAAAGTATGCGCATATAAAATATATTTTTCTATAATCAGCATCAAAATTGCAACGAAATGTATTTTTCTAACTGCAAATATAATCTCGATTAGTACATGTAACATAATATTTATGAATGATCAAAGATGATTGAATATATGATGTAAACCGCGTCACTTTACTTTTTTTTTTTATTTTAGGGTAGACAAAATGAGAAGGCAAAAACGACTGTGAGACCGGAAATTTTTCGTGGATTGCAAGCAAACCAAAGCGATATATCACGCTGTGAACGGATGTGTACTTGATAAAAGCGGTAATAGAGAAGATCCGACCCGAGTCTTTGATTTTTTAACGGTTGAACACCGGCAGTATCGACGGATGCGCTAAATGAAAATATACCAACAAAGTGCAAGGGAAGAGAAAAGTTGATAGTTGTATTTTCCGGTCAATGAGCAGTAATGCGCGCGCACAGCAACTAATGACAAAAGGGTGATTGTAGTAAGTTGTACAAACCAATTTAGAATTTCTCTCTTGTTTTTTTTTTTATGGCAAACAGTCTGATGTAAACCTAATGGATTGTTCCTGCTTCTTACATTGGGCACGAATGAAGTTCGTGATCAGACAGAATTTCTAGATATGTTATTTATTAAAAATATATATTGTTTTTTTTTCGTATAAGAAATTTGCATTTTGCTTTCATAATGTTTTATACAATTTTTTTTTAATTGTATTTGCTCTATATAAAAGAGAAGATTCAACGAAAAAAAATATTTTAGTTTTATTAAATAAGACAGGATAATATACATTATTTTAATTTACAAAAACGTAGTAGAACGATAATAATTTTTTTATAATCTCCGATAATTGTCGAAATAATTTCGAAATGTTATACACATTAAAAATTCATACACATTTTATTTATTTTTACTTACTTTTTAAGCCATTTATGTGTATATAGTATAATATTATAATGGATTATGGAAACATTAAATAAATGTACTAATTATGATAAAAAATACTTAATTAAAATTTAATTTATGTTTAAGACATTTTAACATAAAAATCACTTTGAATGCATCTATAACAATTTATGATACCATTATAACCCATTATGAATAGGCTGTTGTAAGATTTTACAATTTAAACTTATAAACATTATCCTAAGAAAGAAGAGTACAAGTTTATAACAGTAGAAAATGAAGTTGAAAAAAAGTTATATAAGCATAAATGCCTTACAGATAATTAGAAAAAATCTATATTATTTTGAATGAGTGGGACTTTGTAATCAACAATCGTTAGAATCAAAATGAAATACTTCAACATTGAATATTTTACATAAATATATATATATATATAGAAAGAGGGCAATTTCTTGCATCCACGTGCGAAAAAAAGATATTCACCAAACTAAACGATTTTTTTTTATTAGAGTTCGATATTGAAGTGATATGGAGAAAAGTACATATGAAAATGAAAATAATGGTGAGAAAGCGTCATTGATCTCGACGGAGGGAAAAAAATTATGAAGTATTTCAATCCAGACTTCTATATGACACTATTTGAGTCAGTCGAAAAGCGCGTCGCGATGCAATAAAATCTATCCCTATATATACCCTCGTCACCTCGTACGTTACTCTCGCGCATATGCGTATATGTATATATAAGTGAGCTTCATAACATTCCGAACGGTGGAAGCTGGAGCGAGGGAGCGAGGCGAAAATGAGAGCCGACATGCCGATGACCGTCGTCGTCGTCGTCGTCGTCGTCGCACAAAATATACCCGAAAAGAGGCCAGATCGCGAAAAGCAGTTTCTGGGCACAGGGGACCGCCACCGAGACGGTGAAAGAGGGTAAAGAAGGAAGTCCCGGAGTACGGCCCACTTTTACCTGCTGATTTATTAGTCGCTTAGTCAAGGGAAATTGCGAGTGTCGTGTACATTGGCCGAGAGCCGTGCGTTGGCGGATCTGAATGATTGTCCTGATCGTTCCTTGGACAGGTCGGAGACAGTAAGGGTTCGAGGAGGCCCGAGAATACGATGGACATTCAATGAAATTGGGGTTGGGGATTTTCTGCGATACAATGACTAGAATTCACATTCTAATAGCGAAGCAGCCAAGTGCTAATCTTGAATAATTATTATTAATATTGAAACATCAGTAGTCGGTAGTCAGAATTCTGCTTCAACGCTAGTAAACACGACAACTTTTAAATGCCATAATTAACAATAAATTAACAAATATTTTAGTAGCTATACATTTTCGCAGTTATAAATGCAATAAATACAAGTGCAACTATTAATTAATAAGAGCTTTGTTAGTGATTATTAAAATTTATTTAAATTCATTAATGTAGTTTCTTTTACTTTGTAAGTTGCATACAGATTATATGTTCATTAGCATAATCGAAAGCGCTCTATAAGTGAAAAAGAAAATCTTAAACAAGAAATTTATAAATCAAAAAGTTTTTATTTAAATTAGAAATTTAGCTGTCTAATGTATAAAATAATACATTCTATGAGATTTCAACTATGCACATAAATAAATATACCACATTCAGTTATCTTACAAGGAAAAACTACAAATATTTCTATTTTTCTATTTAAAATTTTATAAGATTTATTAATGTATCTAATTAAATCTGTAATCTAAATTCATCATTTATCAAATTGATTAATGGGCAATTACTTGAAACAAAAAAATCATTGATGTTTATCGCAAGGCCCATGATTAATCATTATTGTAACTTGTTACACTTAATAAAAATAAACTGAAAACTCTCATAGCAATTATGTAATAATCAATAAAGTTCGTACAACTTTCTATATATCAATAAAATTTATATTTATCTAAGATTTAAGATATATACTTTGCCTCAATTTTCCTTACGTAACATTACTCAGCTAAATAGAATACTTTTAAAAATATCCGTGGTATTTCAATCTCTTTGAGTTCGTATGCAGTGTGTATGTGTACGCGCGCGCGCGCGCGTGCGTGTAGTGATATTTAAATAAATAAAAAAATATGTAGAATGTTGTAAAGTTTATGATAGTAGTATCTCAAATTAATCCAGCACGTCTAAATACCGAGCACGTCATAAGTCCAGAGCGCCGTGAAAAATCTGTCACTGTCAATATCAATTTCATCATATTTATATTTCCATACATGCCTTACGAATTGAATGGAAGAATCGCGTATATAATTAATGACATCAGCTGCCATCGCCTTACAAAAAGCGCGTGTCACAGGATAATGATTGGGCCCTCGTGGGTCCACCGCCATATACGGAGCTATGTTGACTCAAACATACGAAAGAGAGTGGATGCAACGCGCTGGTAAATCATAATGAGGTACTCGTGTGAGCTGTCTGTGTGTGGGTGGGTGGGCGGACCTATGCGATTGCGCGCGCGCGCGCTTGATGAGAGGATTTGTGTTTGAAAGATAAAACATGGTAAAACTTTACGAGGGCTAAACTTATTATAAATCGAATAGCCAGCTTTTATGCCAGAAGGATAGATAGATAGATAGATAGAGAGAGAGAGAGAGAGAGAGAGAGAGAGAGAGAGAGAGAGAAACGCCACGAGGCTAAAAAATACATTGATAGTTGAAGTTGTTCTAGAACGCGACTTATAATTGCACCTGCTTTTTCTTATAATCCAGTGTGACACAGAATTTGAGTTTGTACTAGATGTAATAAGTATTACTCTTTTCTATTATCTTGACTTATAGCAACTTGAAATCATGTATGGCACTGCAGACCAAAACATTTTATGAAAAGTGTGACGAAGGTATTTGCTTCTTTTCTCCGGAACAACAAGCGTAGAATTTGAACATTAGTTTAACAAATAAATAACGTAAAATTATTCGTCCGATGTACAACCACGAGTACATAGTATATTAATAGCCAAATAAATCAAATGCAAAAAACTTTGTTATTATGTAAACTGCTAAATTTCTATAAAAGAAAAAAAGCAAAATTTTACTCTTACGAAATGTAACATTTATTTAGGTTTCTATGTTTTTTACTAGCCAACGTATTTTTTGTAATCAAAGTATTAATAAACACTCTATTTAGTATTAAATTAAAAATACAATTATTTTAATGATTTGTTTAAAATGTGATTTCATTCGATATAGCAGCTTATTATAATATTATGCATTTTAAGAAATTATAATCGGCCTTATAATCTTGAATATATTTTACTTTAATTTTAAAGCATAACTTAGACCGATCACAATTAAAAATATTCAATACATTAAAGATATATTTTCATTCGCTCATAATTAAAATTATAAGCATTAATAATAAAAACAGGCAATAACTTTTTTATTAAAATTATGTTACATCTAATTCTTCGGAATAAAAATAACGTATTGACATAAGCGAACGAGGATTAATGCTTATATGAAAATGCTAAAATATTTCGTGTCTGTTGAGGTATCTTTTTAATAATTGGCTCATGATAAAATTTGTATTTCATACTCATCATGAAGAGATAAGCGACAGTTAATAATCCTCCAGAATTTCTATGTAAAACTACGATGCAAAATACGCTATGAAATATATTTGTCTAATGAATATACGTGATATTTACTCTCCATTTATAAGATACGCGGATGCTTCATGTAACATTGAAATGTTGTACTTTCCATATTAAGGATAATGTAGTACAACGCACCAGTGCGCGCAAATCAAATTCTAAAATAAAAAAAAAAAAAAAAAATAAAAAATAAGGAAAAATTGAAAAATCTACTTCTATTTGGTGTACTCATCAGCATATGTGTATTACAGTTTTTGAAGAAACTGACGTTCAAACGTTATTTATTGAAAAACCGAATTATACACGTGAATGATGATGAAATAATTATCGAATGATCTAGTCCAATTAAAGGAAAATGATGGCGTGAAAATTAAAATTTTAATACTAATGAGTATTCGTATGGAGATTGTTTCTCATATTATATAGGACAATTCGAAGCGAATACATGAATGGAATATTGAGAAAATATGTACTGAACGTGTTTTTTTTATTGTTACGCTTTAAACATTAATGAAAGAAAAATAAGCAAGAAAAGAAAATGATTGATATCGATTATACAACATCGCGAATTAATACATAATTATTATTCGACCAGGAGGTGCCATTCAGTAACACTTTGCGATATCGCAGATTTTACTAGGTCAAGGTTTACCCCGACTACCTCTGCGGAATATGTCGAGCTCAACACTATTAACGACAATCCGCATCTACGAATGAAAATACAAGATTTAGCAACGTGGGGCAGCGGTGCGCCAACGACTAATTGCAATTTTTAGCTTAGACGAAGCGATGCCACCGGAGGAACGGAAGAATTAAATAAGAATTGCTGCCAACTGTGCCAAAGTTATTACTCATAGCTTTATGCGATTCCTTCGAAAACTTTTACGATTGCTGTTGACCGTCTTACACGCAAACTCCTTTGCAACGACATCGTTTGAAGAACTCGACAGTTTCTATTCGAATGGCACTGTTTATAGCAACAAACTTTTATTTGTTAATCCGATAAATTTGTAGTGGAGGTATAAAATAGTCATTATCGATTATAAGATATTAAGTGTTTGA